CCAACCGCTCCTTTTTTTCTTTTCTTTTTTTTTATTCTGGGCCAGCTTTAGCTCTGAGGCTTGGCTCCAGCTCTTAGGCCTCGGCTGCTGAAAGCAGGTATCTGGTTTGTTTGGGTTCTATAATTGAAACACTGTTTCAACTCCAGCTCTGAGATCCGGGCTGGCTGAAAGCAGGTTTCTGGGGTTTTGTTTAGCTTCTATATTTGTAACAATGTTCCAAACTGCAAGCTCAGAGGCAGGCAGTGGCAGGCGGGGAACGTTGGAGTCCTCCGTCACTGAAGCAAGCAAGCCTCATGTTCGCTTTAAGCTGCCTGGCTGCCGGCCGCCATCTTGGCCGGCAGTTAATTTGCATATCACCCTGATTAGCCAATGGGAAGGGTAGCAGACGTTCGGCTAATTGCCATGTTTCTCTTTTATTAGATAGGATGGAATTGGGAGAGAGGTATTTAAGTAATGAAAATAGCCACAATTTCCATGATGCCTTCACTCCACAAAAAAGGCTTACCAAAAGCCCAATTAAAAACTCTCATACACACAAAAAATTAACCTACTTCCCAGGGCCTTATAATACTGAATCATCTCTTAAAGTGAAAAGACAGGAGGATTATAGCTGTGCATGGCCAATTTGTCTTTTGAAGTCAAAGCATGTCTCCCATTACCTTGCACCAAGTCCACGTGATCTGCATATCAATATATTGTAGGGTTGCAGCATCTGAAACCCATACCAACCATTAAAAGGTGTTACCATTATTTTAATTAACAAGTTTGCCTACACATGAAGAACTCTGCAGTTTTATTCTAGAATTCTTTCTAAATTATCGCCATCGAATTTTAAAGAAAATTTTAAAAAGCTAAGGACCAAGACTAAAAGTCATGTAATTCCAATTCTCTTTATGTTACCCTCCAGTAAAATAACTAGCTCTATAAAAATCCTTTTAAACAGAAAAGCAATATACTAGTAGTTGATTTAGAAAAAAATAATAATTTTTATAACTCAGTTTTCTACATTAGGGTCAAATGTTATAGTAGAGGAATGAAAGAAATGCCAAATCACACACTGTGTAATAGGAATGCTGCCTGAAATATGTTAAGTACATTTTTAGTTGTTATAATTTAAAAGCTATAAAAGATAAAAGTCTACAGAAGTGAATTAACTATCCTAAACTGATCTTTGTGAACTCACAAAGTATATTGACATAGTATGTTTGTGTACTCACATAGTATGAGTTTAATAAATGAAGCTCATTAAAGAATAGTAATACTTAGTTTCATTAATACATGATGGAAAATATATCTTAGGAACATATGTTGACCACGTGTGCACACATGCAGAGTGTTCAAAGTTACTTTAAAATGTTAAAATAAGTAAGGCCCCTGTTATCCTTGATAAATGTCAGCTCATGCACTCATGCCCAATACACACTATTTTTCACAAAGCAGAGTCCCAGGAAAGGTAATTTTGAATCCATCAGCACCATGTAATGGTTACACATAACAAATCCTATTCAAGGTCAGAAGTTTAGAGGTTTTCAATATCAGCTTCATAATAATGCAGGCTTTATGTTAAATATTTTACAGGTTCAAAAACAATAGTCTTAGTAAAACAGTTTTCAGAAACAAAGACAGAATCATAAGAAAGTAATTATAAGTTTGGCACATGAGAAAGAGGGCCATTTATAATAAACTGAACTATTTGTACAGCAGTTCACTTTTATATAGTTGTGCTGATATTTAGGCCAATTGTATTTCTTAATTAAGTTACAAAATTAAGTACTACAAGAGCTACGTTATTACCAATCTGACCATTTTTATGTATATATTTTCCAAGTGTAATAAAACTGTCCTTTTTATGAACCCTGACTATGAACTATTTACTGAGATCTCATCGCCATTCATTTTCACCAAGAGCAGAAAAATGGTGATTGTAGATTAGTACAGCAATTTAGATATTTGTTGTTCATGTCAAAGATGAATCTTACAACTTTAACAGTTTTCTCTACATATTTTGAAAGAGAAATATCAAAGCAAACCAGCTTAACCTTCAGTCTTTTGTTAAAAGAATCTTTTTGATATGTGACCTCTGCTCAAAAAAATTACCTTTTAAAGTAAATAACTGTTTGATCAACATTAAATTCAAAATATTTGCCTTTAAAATTATTAATGCATTAATATTTTCCTATATATCATCACAGAACCAGTTACCTCCAATTTTAAATGTATCATTAGTCATCAGTCTTCGTTCCATACATAGAAGGAGACTCTTAAAAGTTTCAAACTGCCCGGCTGGTGTGGCTCAATGGCTGAGTATCAACCTATGAACTAGCAGGTCATGGTTTGATTCCTGGTCAGGTCACATACCCAAATTGTGGGCTCAGTCCCCAGTGGGGTGTGTGCAGGAAGCAGCAGATTAATGATTCTCTCTCATCATTGATGTTTCTATCTCTTTCCCTCTCCCTTCCTCTCTGAAATCAATTTTTAAAAATGTGTGTGGGGGGGGGGGGGGGTTAAGTTTAAAGCCTAAGAAGAAAATAAAAGGGGGGCAAGAAACTAAGTGTGGTCTGATTACCCCAAGTAAAATAACTTTGGCTTTTCCACTTGAAACCGCAGCACTTAAATTAGCCCTAAATAGCAGATCCACCAAAATTATGGCTTTTTTGATAATTTTTTGTAATTACTATCATAAGCTTGAGAACAAAAATTGATTTCTAAACAATTTTGCTGCAAGATACCCATTAAGTATTTCACTGCAGATAGGTCTGGGTATGACTCTGAATTAATTTTTTTTAAGAAATTATTTTCAGCCCTGACCGGTTTGGCTCAGTAGACAGAGCGTCGACCTGCGGACTGAAGGGTCCCGGGTTCGATTCCGGTCGGGGGCATGTACCTCGGTTGCAGGCACATCCCCAGTAGGGGGTGTGCAGGAGGCAACTGATCGATGTTTCTCTCTCATGGATGTTTCTAACTCTCTATCCCTCTCCCTTCCTCTCTGTAAAAAATCAATAAAATATTTTTTAAAAGACTTTCTTGACACTTGAAAAAGATACTGTTGTAGAATTGACATTAACCCTATAATTACAGGATGACTACTATAACAAAGACTGATTTTTAAAAATTGAGGTGAGTTCAATTAACATGTTTTTTTTGAAACCCAGGAATGTTTGAGACAGCAAACCTTCTGAAGTCAGTGCCATGAGAAAGGTAACAATATTTTTCCATAAAATTCCTTTATGGCATCATAGAGCTCTTACTATTCCTCAATACATCAGCTATGTTCTTTAACAACTTTACTGAGATCTAATTAACTTACCTTACACTTAAAGTATGTGAGTCAATGGCTGTTATTATATTCAGAGTTGTACAACTGTCACCACAGTTTTAGAACATTTTCATTATCCCAAAAAAGAAACCCAGTACTCTTGAGCTGCCTCTCCCCTTATCCTCACAATTCTCCCCCAACCTCACACAATCTCTTCCCTAACCCTACCTTAGGCAGCCACTAACCTACTTTCTGTCTCTATGAATTTACCTATTCTGGAGAGTTCATACAAATGGGATCATACAACATCTAGTACTTTGTGACTAGTTTCTTTCACTTAGCCGAATCCTTCCTAGTTCATCCACATTGTAGCATATATCAGTACTTCATTTCTTTTTATTTCTGAATAATACTTCATTGTATAGATATAACATTTTATTTATCCGTTCATCCATTGATAGATATTTAGTTTGTTTCCATTTTGGGGGGGCTATTATGAATGTTACTATGAACATTTATGTACAAGTTTTTATATGACCATGTATATTCTTAAATGAGAAATCATGAGCACTAAAATAATCAAAACATATTTTGATAATATATGCAAAGAAGCCTCCAAAGTTTGCTGGTAAATAGGAAAGAAGCAGGTTCCTTAAAAATAGCTTAAAAAAAAAACAACTGGCATCCAAATGTGCAGTTTTAACAATGACTAATATGCTGAGGGTTCTAGTGGAAAAAGTGGACAACATGCAAGGACAGATAAGTAATGTTAGCAGAAAGATGGAAACTAAGAAAGAAGTAAACAGAACTATTAGAAATCAAAAACACTAACAGAAATGAAGACTGCCTTTGATGGGCTTATCAGCTGACTAGACACAGCTGAGGGGGGAAAAAAAAAAGAAAATGAGTTTGAAGATATATCAATATGAACTTCCAAAACTGAAATACTAAGAGAAAAAATAAAAAAAATAATTAAAAAAATGTCCAAGAACTGTGACATGATTATAAAAGGTAAAATATATGCATAAGAGGAATACCATTCATATAAAATTCAAGAAAAGACAACTTTTTCTATACTCATTTTTCTATTCTGATGAACTAATAAAATTTAGGAGTTACATAAAATGTTATATGCCCATACAAGCAATCATAGTCTTCACAATGTAAAAATAGTAAAAATACATGGGGCTGATTCAGATTTTGACTAAATACCATTAAAATATTCACACACGCCTGGCCAGCGTGCCTCAGTGGTTGACGTCAACCTATGAACCAGGAGGTCACAGTTAGATTTCCAATCAGAACATAAGCCCAGGTTGTGGGCTTGATCTACAGTAGGGGGTGTGCAGGAGGCAGCCAATAAATGATTCTTTCTCATCATTGATGTTTCTATCTCTCCGTCTCCCTCCCTAAAACCAATTAAGAATATATTTAAAAAGAAAGAAAAAAATGTTCACTCATAAGAACAAGGTGGGTGGGCGGGTAGTGCCGCATATTAAACTGTAAAACACAGTTCCCCTCCTCTCCCAAAAATTTATGTTTCTGTATACATATATACACATATATATACACTCATTTCAATACCATGCATTCATTCAATTAATCATTAAAGAGAAAACCATGAAATATAAAACAAGTTTAAGATTAAATCATAAATTAAAGAAGAGAGTAGTATCTTCAGAGGTTGAAATCAGAAAATTACAAAGGATCGAGCCAAAAAAAAAAAAAAAAAATACTGGATTACCTGGCTAACCAGTCAAATGATGTTCAAGTAGAAGTTTATTTTTATTGGTCTCTGATTCCGCTGTTCAGCAAGTATTTTGATCCTGAAGATTTAAAAAACAAAGTATGTTGAATTTCATTGCCCTTTCTTAGTATTATTGGTCACACACAAATTAACTTTTTCCCTAGACATATGAAACAAAACAAAAAGGGCTATTAAGAGGCCTCTTTGAAGAATTTTAGCTGGTGCCTTATTTTGCCATATATTACTGCTTCTGCTTAAAAACTCAGGGATGGCATATACAATATGTTTTGTCACGGTTTATAAAAATGGATAACACAAAGTGGAATGGAGGAGACCCAGTTCCAAGTTCTGAAATGTGATCAAACCAGATGGCTAATTTGAACTTGGGACATCCCCACCTGTCCAAAAAGAGTATTTAACAAATAACAATTAAAGACACTTATTAATATCCTGGCAGAAACTAATACTTAAATACCCACAAGATGGATGGACAGACGAATGGGATGGATGGACAGATGGACAGATGGATGGGGTAAGCAAGCAAGAAAGAAAGAAAAAAAAACACCTGGATTTTTTCCCCCCCACTAGGAAAGGCTGCATTTGAGTCACCAACAGGAAATATTTTTAAATGAAAGACAGGAAAATATAAAAAAACATGAACATCTAAATGGCAGGCTTTTGCACTAATGTGGAGGTGATTCTAGTGCACAAACAAGTGTCCAGCCGGTGTGGCTCAGTGGTAGAGCTTTGACCCATGAACCAAGAGGTCGCTGGTTCTATTCCTGGTCAGGGCACATGCCCGGGTTGTGGGCTCGGTCCCCAGTGTGGGGCAAACAGGAGGCAGCCAATCAATGATGTTTCTCTCTCATCAATGTCTGTCTCTCTCCCTTCCTTTAAAAAAAATCAATAAAAACACATTTTTTAAATAAAATCAAAATTCACCATCTTATGAATGGCCAAATGTAACAATAAAGCAACAACAATCTGACTATCACTAACTCTAGTAGTAGCTGTATCAAGACAACAACCATAACTAGCCCTAAAGTCAACAGCATGCATGATGGAATTGACACATCTGTTGGGAAGGGATAGAAGAAGAAAATGAGATATTCGAAGCCATGACAAATTCCCAACCACAATATAGCTATATGATGTGATGGGTCTGTTGTAATTTTGAAACCCAAATTAAAGGTAAGAAAATTAGGGGATGGAAGTGGGAAGCACATCATATGTGGTACACAAAGGAAAAAGAGGAGAATCCAGGTAGTATATCAGTGCCATTCAAATAAAAACAGCTGGTATATCTACTAATACATCTATTTATAAGCACAGTATAGTCTCTAAGTTATAATTGAGAAATGACAAAAACAAGCTGGTTCTTGGGATAAATCTCCCTATCCACAATAGTTGTTGGCATAATGGTTCGAACTTCGGAGTCCACCAGATCTAGACTCAACTCTCACTTACTAGCTAGGTACCTCTGAGTCAACTTAAGACTTCTTAGAGACTTAGATTTATCTTAAAATGGGAATTACACCAAAGAAGGCTCTTGTAAAGATAAAGTGAAATGCTTAAAATTCCTTATTAGTACTTAATACATAAATGCTTAATAAAAGCTATCAGCCAAACAAAAGATTACTTGACATATAAGATTTTCCAAGCACACTGAAATGAAAAATAGGAGAAAACAATCATTCATTTTAGTTTTTAAATGAAATCAATGTGTTATGACTAATTTTTCTGATATCCAATTTAATTAGAGGGAGATGAAAGGAGGGGAAAGGCAAGCCAAACTTCTATAAAGAAAATCCAAGATTTCTGGCCCTGGTTTTAAATCAAGTATCATTTCAGAAATGGTTCTTTTGTTGATGCTCCTTTAATTGAGGGAAGGGGAAAAGTTTTGGGGTGAGCATAAGGCCTACAAAACAAGAGTAGTGGGTAGGAAAAAGAATTTGATTCGGTATATACCTAGTACCGTAATAACCAACCCAGGAAACAAGTACTGCTGCCTAGTGCGGAATGTTGGCAAGCAGAGCCTACATTAACACTGAAGTATTATTGTACAGCTGGTGAGAACTATTTAAAGGAGTGCTGACCCACCCAATTTGTACCCCATAACCCTCATGTATCCAAAGAAACACCACCTACAAAATTCTTCGCTCCCAGAAGTGTGCAGTGGGGGCTAGAGAGGTCCCCAAATCATAGATCTATGGATCTATGGTTTGCCCCAAGAGCATTACACCAAAGAAGGCTGCAAGAGCTAGGTTTAAAAAGTACATATTCTAGGATCTTGTAAAGTATGGAACTATTAGGAAAACTACATTTAACTTGTCTAGAACCAAGATTCTACAAAGGCAACAGCCCTAAAAAATTTCTTAAAACGCCGAACCGGTTTGGCTCAGTGGATAGAGCGTCGGCCTGCGGACTCAAGGGTCCCGGGTTCGATTCCGGTCAAGGGCATGTACCCTGGTTGCGGGCACGTCCCCGGTGGGGGGCGTGCAGGAGGCAGCTGATCCATCTCTCTCATCGATGTTTCTGACTCTCTATCCCTCTCCCTTCTTCTCTGTAAAAAATCAATAAAAATACATTAAAAAAAAAAAAAAATTTCTTAAAACTGTATTTCTGCCGAAACCGGTTTGGCTCAGTGGATAGAGCGTCGGCCTGCGGACTGAAGGGTCCCGGGTTCGATTCCGGTCTGGGGCATGTACTTGGGTTGCGGGCACATCCCCAGTGGGAGATGTGCAAGAGGCAGCTGATCGATGTTTCTCTCTCATCGATGTTTCTAACTCTCTGTCTCTCTCCCTTCCTCTCTGTAAAAAATCAATAAAATATATTTAAAAAAAAAAAAACTGTATTTCTTACTTTTATCAAAAATAAGCTTAATTACTCTTACTTACTCTTTTTTATAATTTAGACTTTAGTCAATCACACATACAAAAATCAAATCACATTGATAGGAAAACTGAATGTCACATCCCAAAGAGGTATCTGAGAAGGTGAGGGGTGGACATTAATTTTCCTACTAGAATTAGCAAAAAGGTTACTGATGAGATCCACATCATCAAAACCTGCATCACTAGAAAGCTAATGGAGGAGGGGGTCAAACTGAGCTTTGTTAATAGCTGGTCTGAGAAAATGTGCCTTGAGGCCAAAACAAAGACTTAAACTGAGGGAGGGGAGTTGACAGAAGAAAATCCAAACTATAAGGTGCTAATGCTTGGAAACAGAAATAGACAAAAAGAAGCCACTGAGTATTATAAACATGTCTTTCTTTTGCTGTTGAACATGGAAGGAGGCAAGGACTCTACTATTAATCATATTAAACTCATTGTTCTTTCCATGCTGCTACGGGCAATGCTCCTAGAGACCCCCTCCACAGTCCCCTATAGTCATAGAGATGGGGAAATCACGTCTTTGGGGAAAGCCAGCTGTTGCCCACTCATCTTCAAAGCACTACAGAATAAGTTTCTGCACCAATTAAATTTCAGGTAAAAGGTTACCTAATATTGGTGTAAATTAAACTTAACATTCTTTTGCAGTTGAGATTATTCGTCAAGCGATAAATATATCCTTTGTTAAAACCATAACATTTTTAACTTGCAACTACAACCAATTTGAAGCTATACTAAAAACAGATGTTAAGTTAATAATCACATGAAAATTTGGTATTATATGGAAAGGTATCACTTTTTTGAAACTAAATAAACTCAACTCAGTAAAAAGATCCTTTTTTTTTAATATTTATGATTTAATTCCATTAAAGACAGTGTGATGACAAACCTTCTTAAATGCCATAATCTTTTTCACAAGGGGGGCAGGAATTATTTCAAATTACAGCATATGCATGTCTAATAAAGCAAGGACAGGGTCAAAAAAACTGAAATGTATTACCACTTATCATATGGTATATATTAAAAGGATCAAGCTGATTTATAATAATTTACTCTAGTCATGTAATAAATTATAATAAACATTTAGTCCTATCTGGAGTCCACCTGAAAATTTAACTGACGCAGTAAAACAGAAACCTTGGTTTCAGAAAAGTCCTGCTTCTTGAGGTAACCTTGCATGAGACATTTAATTCAATTAAATGTTTGCTGTGTACCTATTAAATGCCAGATACTGCAGTGGCACTCAGAGTTATAAGCAAAATATGGCTCTTGCCATTAATTAGGAAAGAAGCAGGTATAAATAGCCACTATACTTCCCGAAATGAAAACTATGTTCATTCATTAAGCATTTGCTGAACATGTACATGCTGCACACTGTACCAGACACCAGGGATATAAGAACCAGAAGTTGAAGACAGAGTCCAATAATAATATTAAAGGAGGGAAGAGAGAACTGGATTGCTGTGTAACTTTACTGTAAAGAACTATTTAAATGTGAATGCGAGACAAATCCAAAACCATTTACCTCAACATAAAAGAGAGAATTATTGATAATATTTAAATGTACAGATAATTTCTATAATTATTTTCCATAGTTATCATAACCAAAATGTCATTTGAATTTCTTTATAATGAAATGCAAAGAAGAAAGTAATTCTTATAAAAATGTTAGCCAATTGTGTAAAGATTACATGAGACATAGAAAACATTAATGGGGTATATATAACGAACATCTGCTGAAATGAGAGCTATTTTAACTCAACATATTCAGGAAATATGCTTACACAACGACACTATCCACTGATGAACAATAGCAGTAAGTGTAACCATTCTGCATTTTTAAAATTACCTTGAGATTAAGGAGAAAAGTAAAAAATCGGTTGGCAGACCAGTTTATTAACAGGCCCCACATCTTTGGCTGAGTTGTAGTTAGTAATGACATGGTTACTAAAACAGGCATGCAAGCAAGCCGCTTGCTGGTGCTTGTTCAGATTTCCCTCTCCCCCCTCTCTTGGAAAAACTGCATGCCGTGCTGCACGATCACACAAAATAAATACAGGAAGCCTGGGTGGGGAGGTGAGCAAAGCTCTGGGCTCCACCAGTGGAAGGCGTTCCACAAGAATTGCTACAGGGTCAAAAGTTTACAGTGGTTTCAATTTCACCTTTTAGCAGCCAATCAGGAAACAGA